GAGAGAGAGAGAGAGAGAGAGAGAGAGAGAGAGAGAGAGAGAGAGAGCTAGCTTTAGCCAGGAACTGGAAACAACCTATATGTCCCTAAACCAAAGAATGGATTTAAAAAAAAAAAAAGTGGCACATTTACACAGTGGGGTTTTAGTCAGCAGTTAAAGACCAACAACAAAAAAACAAACAAAAAATGCCTTCATAAAATTTGTAGGCAAATTGATGGAACTAGAGAAAATCACCTGAGGTAACCCAGACACAGAAAGACAGACATAGTTTGTACTCACTTATAAATAGATATTCGCCACTAAGAATAATCAGACCCAGAAAGGCTAAATAACAAGGAAGGCTCTGGGAGGTCTCAGGGATCTCCCTGGAAGGGAAATAGAATAGCTTTTGTGGGAAACTGGGGATGGGGGGTGAGTAGAGATGGGTACAAAAGGGATCAGGTAGGGGACAGAAGGATGGAGAGTGAGAGTATGGGGGAAAACAAGTGGAATTGGAGGGGCATTTGAGGGGCGATCTGGACACCTAGTGCAGTGAAACTTCTGGGAATCTGTGAGGATCACACTAGTAAAGACTCCTAGTAACGGAGGATGAAGAGCCTGAACCAGCCATCTCCTGGAACCAGGCAAGACTTACAGTGCTGAGACTGGAACACCATCCCAGAAAAAAAAAAATCTTTTGACCCCTACAACCTGGCTAACCAGCAATCCCAAGCTATGAGAGGGAGACCACAGCAGATACTGTCTGCTGTGACAGGCAAGGAGCTGGAAGTTGGATAGTCCAGAGACCTTTGGCAGAACTAAACAGGACTGGACAAAAGGGAGTGGGGTTCAATGAAATCATTATTAACAGTCATAGATTGGTCCAATAGTAATCAAAGAGACTTCATCTAACAACTGATGGGAGATGATGCAAAGATCCACAAGCCAGTGGAGGAAAAGGAAGAATTATAAGAGATAAATGGGTTGAAATGGCACCAGAACATGGCCCACAGAACCAACTACTTAGGGCACATAGGAGCTCACAGAAAATGAAGTGGCTGTCACAGAACCAACATGGGTCTGTGCCACAGCCACTGAATATGTAATGGTTGTTCAGCTTGGGATTTTTATGGGACCCTGAACAGGGGGAGTGGAGGTGTCTCTGACTCTTTTCTGAGTTGCCTCACCCAGCCTTGATATGATGATTTGTACCTAGACTTATTGTATCTTGTTATGCTGTGTTCAGTTGCTATCCCGGGGGGGGGGGGCTCTGATGTTTTCTGAAGGGAAACAGAGGATGAGTGATTCTGGAGAGTTTGGGTTTGATTCCGGGGACACATGGCAGAAGAAAATTACTCCCATAAGTTATCCTTTGATTTACACAAATGTGCCACGGCAAAGGCAAACCCCTTCACACACACACACACACACACACACACACAAAATAAATGAATGTGATTAAAAAACATTAAAGTTAATCACATCCATGACTCACCACTTATGTCCTGATTTGGGTGACGCTGCACAGCTCATCTTCCTAACTTCTTCTCCTACTTTCAATGTTGCTTTCTCCTGCGGCACAATCAGGTCCCACCTTGTTGTGAGATGATGGAGTTCTGAGGTGAGAACTGGTTCTACCTGCGGTTTCTGTAGGAATGAACCTAGATAAATAGTCCTTAAGGCACATTAATCTACCAGTCTAGACTTACTTTGAAGTGAATATCTGATAAATGTCATGGATTGAATTCAAATAGTCATTTAAACAACTGAAGTCTGGCACAAACAAAAAAGTAATTAGGTCCTTGTAGAAGGTTCGTTGAACATACATTGGAAGATTCTGTCTTTAAACCAGATGTTTTTGTCTTTTCAGCCATTGGCTCCTCAGCCCAGGTGACAGTGGTTCCATCAAATTGTGGCTATTGACATGGCTACTGGAAGGATAAGGCTAAGCTTATCTTGAACACACTACCTTCCCGAAGGCTAGTCTACAGTTTATCTTTCCCCTACCAGACTCCCTGATGGACACAGGGGAGACAGTTCATTTTAACTACACCCCAACCATGAAGAACAGTGGGCTGGCTGTGACTACTGACCTGTCCTTACCCTGCCCCAATCTAGAAATTCCTTACTTCTGAAAGGCCTTAGATGTTTCAAGTCCTTGTAGAAGTTGCTAGATGAGCTAAGAGGCCCTGACCAGTCCAGTTTCCCCAAACATACTCATCTGACCAAACACTCTTCCCTCCAGTGGGAGAAACTGATGAAAACAGGCAAATTGTACCTGACAAAATTAGCTTTAGGGAAGGTAACTACCAACTGCAAGTTGCCATTCTCAGTGACCATCAGCAGTGATATACAAATCCAACACGTCAGTTATTTTCATTTTCCTTTTTTTTTCCGACAAAAACAATTAGTTTAATCTAATCTAAATGGGGCGCCTGTGTTTAGCTTACTGTGCAGCATCTGACAGATTAGCCATTTAACATGTTTCCATTTGCTGCTGTTATCCCAAAGCAAGGAGGTGAAAGACATATTTGCCTCGGCTGTATTGTTTTCATTTTCAATGTGATGGGTTGCTTTTATTCTATTATCCATTGCTCCATCCCTATCCTAGCTGAGTTTCTCTAGAAACTTACCTGTACACTGCTAACTGCTCACTGTCAGAGAGTCAGGTTACAGACAGCTTCAATGACACAAACACATATAAAAATAAAGTTTGGTAAGAAGATTTTGGTACTTACAGACCTTGAGGATGTCCAGCAGGCCTCCTGCACAGAAAAAAAGATAAATGGAGAAGAGTAGGAACCAGCAATATATACGGAAGGACTAGGTCACAGGTTGCAGCAAGGTGACAGACAAATGCCTGGATGGTACATTTAAAGGAAGCCCAGCCTATGGAGGGGAGGGGAAGGGTGCTTTCTAGTTGTTATCTGTATTGCAAGTTGGCACCCTTTGGGTGTGGTAAAGAATTAACTGGAAATTGTGTCAAACAGGAACTAACTGGAAATCTTGTTCCTGGGATTAAAGTCAAGTTTACATTAAAGATAGGTAGAAGAATAAACACTTACATCAGAGCTGTTTTTAAAATTGAAGTGTTTATATTCAATTGTCTCAAAGGGCAAATAGCATCCCAGACTTCTACCCAATTTTTCTGACATTTTTCAAAACACTGTTGGATATGTATTCATGATTTATAAAGTTTTCAATCCCTCCTAGGTTTTCTATTATAAAAACTCATACTTAATGTGGAATATGTTATCTACGTTACACTTGCCATGCAGAATTGAGATTATAATTTTTATTAAATTTGTCCTTTAGACATGACAGAGAAATGTATGAAACATCAATGCAATAGTTTTCCAAACAAGACCTGCATAATAAAAACTCTAGTTGACAGAAAAATGTAGATAATGGAAATCTCATATGGCCCTAACCCTAGATGAGCTATAGGTAATTAATGGTTATTGAGAGAGGGAGAGTCAGTATTCTCAAAGGATAAACCAAGTATGTTATTTAATCCCAAGTGGTCAGCCCTATGCACATGTACATACAAGCATCTGCTCCCATCAGTTCTAGATGAAGACTCTTTGATTATGATTGAGCTAGGGTCCAATCTGTGAATACAGTAGAAATGTTATGAATCATTTCATTGACTTTTTTTCCCAGTCCTGTTTAGTTCTGCCATAGGTCTCTAGACCACATCCTTCCCCCTTTGGTCTTCTCAATGCTTTGCTCCTCACAGCCATTTACTTGGGAGCACTCTCACTCTCTGCCCTTTTCTTCCTTTCTTCCTTCTTTCTCCAATCTTTGTTCTATAGTCAACAGAATCCTGAGGAAGAAAACAGGCCTGAGACCAAATGCTGGCTCCAGTGACCCAGAGATAAACCACCAAGCCCTTAAATGTTGTGGTTTCCATACAAACTTTCACCACAGGCAAGACGTAGTCCCCAGTTGATGACACTGTTTTAAGAGACTGTGGAACTTTTAGGTAACAGGACCTAGTTGGAGGATGTAAGACCACCAGAGTGAGCCCTCGACATTACGGGCCAGCATCCCTTTTAGTCTACCTCTGTGTTCATGGGATGATTAACAAACTGCACAGTCAATTCTAGCACCCTATGATGGGGTCCCAGCTCATGCCTTCCCTACCATGATGGGTTCATATCCTTAAACAATAGGTCAAAGGAAATCCTCTCAAGTTGACTCTGTCAGGTGTGCTGTCACAGCTATGTGAAATATAGTCTTTGACTTCAGATCTCTCACCTTGACAGTAGGCAAATGACTTTGATGTTCAAATGACAACTATGGAGCCTGCCCCAGGACTCAGCCACACACTAAACTTGCCTCTCACCCCATTGCTCCAATCTCTCCTGTTCACTTCCTCTCCTGTATTCTCTTCCTCTCTCCTCCTTAGCCAAACACACAGCACCTTCATAGGTGAGTTGTAATGTCTTGTGTTACTCTTTGTTAATTTCTCAGAAAAAAATGTTTACTTAACTCACCAGGGTCACAGGTCATCACCTGTAGACAAGAACTTTACACCATCAATTTCTGCAGAAAATGAACTTGGCAAGGTCTCAAAGATTATTGCCTACAGAATGGGTATTATATTACTGCCTGCTAATTTCTCCAGAAAAAAACTAGCCAAGATCTCGAGGTTATCATCTGTAAATTGCAGACAATAGCCATTTGTCTCATGGTGTATTTATATTATACATGAATATAATCAATAACAACATACCTAACACTCAGTAAGCAACATCTTTGTGTAAATCATTAATCTTATCAGTTATTATCAGGTGGTAGTTTAAGTCAAGCAGTATAAGGAATTGATATGAAGTCTTCCTTCTATTCTTTTGGTTTGGTTTTTGTTGTTGTGGTTTTTTTTGTTGCTGTTGTTTTGTTTTTTTGTTTTTGTCTTTGTTTTTGAGACAGGGTTCCTGTGTAGTCTAGCTGTCCTGGAACCCCACTGTAGACCAGATCAGGCTGGCTTCAAACTCAGGTCCATCTGTTTTTGTCTCCCAAGTACTAGGGAATAAAGTCATGCACCACAACCACATTGTTGTCTCTCCTATTCTTAAGAATCTACATTTTCTCAACCTTCAGTATTTTTTTCACGTCCTTCCAGAATTAACATGTGCAAAAAGTAAATGTATCCAGTATATACATCTACACTAATATACATTATTTATATATTATACTACACAGACAAAGGCACACATATACACATTATATATATATACTATAGGCATACACTATATACACATTTACTCACTACACATACAGTATACATACATGCCATACACACTACATATATATACCATATATACATATTAATAAATATACACATATGTATATTATATTACATATATACATACTTGTATATACATACATACATACTTATATATACATATAATATACATACATATATATATAATATACATATTATACACATGCACACACTATAAATATATACTGTATACATTATTTACATATATACCACATATATACATACTATATATACATGTGTAAACATAGGTATACAATGATTTTATATATATATATATATATATATATATATATATATATATATCTGTATATTTATATTTATATAAATATATATATATAACATATATACTCTCTCTCTCTCTCTCTCTCTCTCTATATATATATATATATATATATATACACACACACACACACATATATCTCACAAATGCACATACTGTGTCGGGTGGTGTGCTAGTATACATTTACCAACTATCTTTCTGTAGTGGGAAGACATTACCTAACTTGACTTCTTGGGATACATACATACTCTGAGGCCCAGTTTGATAGCAGAGACCCTGACTTGAAACACATAGTAGTTCCTGTGGTAAACCACAGTTGATTTCAAGCTACCATCATAAGAAATGTAGAATTGGGAAGAGGGCCACACAAAGAAGAGGAAGAGACCAGCAGGATCAAGTAGAGAAGCAGGGGGTGGGGGTTGGGACAATAGGAAGCAACAAAAATTTTGTATAGAAATGTCACAATGAAACACACTTCTTTGAATGCCAAATTTAAAACATTAATTTTTAAAACATACACTGCCTCATTTTTAATAGTTGAATAGTATTCCATTATGTAAATGAACCACATTTTCTGTATCCATTCTTTGGCTGAGAGACATCTGGGCTGTTTCTAGCTTCTGGCTATTACAAACAATGCTGCTATGAACATAGAGGAACATATGTCCTTGTGATATGGTAGAGCATCTTTTGGGTATATGTCCAGGAGTGGTATAGCTGGGTCTTCAGGTAGAACTATTTCCAATTTTCTGAGGAACTTCCAGATTGACTTCCAGAGTGGTTGGATGGAATTAGAAAGTATCATCCTAAATGAGGTAACCCAGACTCAAAAGGACATACGTGGTATGTACTCACTGATAAGTGGATAGTAGCCAAAAAGCTCAGAATACCTATGATACAACTCACAAACCATATGAAGTTTAACAAGAAGGGAGACCCAAGTGTGGCTACTTCAATACCACTTAG